AGCTGGCCTTTGCAGCAAGGACAAGCTGCTGGCTCATGGGCAGCTTGCTGCCCCCTGAGACCCTTGGATTGGTTTTTGAAAAGCTGCTCTTGAGCAGTTTGGCTTTTAGTCTGCACTTCCAGAGCATCTTCATCCTGGGTACTCCAGCACTCAGCGTTTACATCTGGATTTCACTGAGTTCCTGACAGCCCCTTTCTGCACCCCTATCACTACCAGCCCTGCCCACCAGCGCATGGGTTCCTCTCCCTGGGTTGGTACTATCCACAGTTTTGATGAAAGTGCGCTCTATCCCATCTTCAGGTCTTCAGTTTTCATGTTAAAACACCACAGACTCGGTGCTGATCCCTGAAGGATGTCACAAGTAATCAGCTGGACTTTGCACCTTGATCACAGCCCTTTGAGCTCAGTGGTCCAGCCACTTTGTCCCTGAACTCCCTCTGTCCGGTTGATATCTCACCAGTCTGTGCGTGAGGAGGCTGCCCACGTGAGGAGACCGTGTCACAGGCCTTGCTAAAATGGACACGTCCTCATTGTTGCTTCTGGTCTTGCCACAGGCAGCCAACTGCTCGGCCATATGAGCTCTGCCCACTAGTGGGAAATAAGTTCCACTCCCCCAGTTCTTGCGTCTTGCAATTTGAAATGCATTTTAGAGAAATATCAATAGATATCTTTTAATGACTTGTAAAGGATAATAAGCTTATGGTTTTAGAAATGATAAAGGGTGAGAAAAAACAAATATTATAAAGGAAAAGGATAAAATGGGGATGGAGAGCTCTTTGCAAGTTTATGTAGTAGGTAATTTGGATCAGTTTGGGTTTTAAAATTTTAATTCATAATATTCATTGGTTTCAAACAGTTTCTTGGGGTTTTTTTTGTTTCTATAGAACCCAGTTTTCTTTGTCTAACTTGGTTTTATGAAAGCACAGGGACAGTATTTGTTTTTTTTTTGTTTCTATAGAACCCAATTTTCTTTGTCTAACTTGGTTTTATGAAAGCACAGGGGACAGTATTTGTATAAATAGCCAAGTGGTCTCCAAAAGAACATTATTTTCCCATAAAGTGTGCTTATGAGGCATTTTGGAGATCTTGCACATTGAATAGGATTTGTGTGTTTTAAAAAGAGTGTGTATTTTTAAGGAGAAAACTATTTTGAATTTGGAAAGCATAATGAACAAAGGAAAGAATAATGAGCAAAGATTACAAACTCTACTTATTAGGAAAGATGAAAATAAACCTCATCTGTTATGTGTTCAGGTATTGTCAGTTGTAATTTGGTCTACACCTTGCAGTAACGGTTTTAAATTGCATTAGAAAATTAACTGAGGAACTTCAATATAACTTTACTAGCCTAGGTGTCTTTAGCATGTTACTTAGGACTTGCATAGTTCTAGAACTAACCATAGTGTTTCATAAAAGCATTTCAGCTGGATCTGCCTACTGGGTCTGACACATCTGTCAAAAGTGAAAAAAGAGCTTGGTTGTGCAAAATTGTATTTGTTGTAGTTGCAGAACAATACCCCAAAAGAGGACCTCTTGTTCAAATTTAAGTTTTCTGGGCTTTACTTCTGATACAAGCTAGTGGAAAAGATACTTTTGTAAATGACTTGTCTTACTTAAAAGTCATCTCTCTAGATACATCATGAGTATTTTTAGTTTTCCACTGCTGTGGCTATTATTTGGAATCACTCTCATTAATGATAAAATGAATGAATGTTTATCAAATCTCATTCCATAACTATAGTTATTAGCACTTTTAGTATGTAACTCCCTTTCCACCACCATTATGATTTTGACTTCAGCTTTTAAATGTTTGTCATCTGGTGTGAGGTGGATTTATGGGAGTGCAGTAACTTTAGTGCTTTTTGGCTGGGTGTTTCTGATGACATCACTGTGATCTAGACACAGTGTGTGACTCTAGTTGGTTCCAGTTTTAAATAGTTTCATAATTATGCTAGTTTTGGCAGTTTCCTTGGAACTTTCTCCATCTCTTTAATGAACATGTTTTACTTCTGGGCTTATGAGACAACCACATGTTTGAGAAATTAATAGTGTGCTCTTAAAGTTAACATTGAGCAGAAGTGTGCAGATACAGAAACCTTCTGGATATATGTGTACTTAGGAGTGTAGTTTTTTTAAGTTCATGGCCACTCTTATTATCTTCGAGTAATTGAAGAATACATTTGGCTTATAAAATATCAGTAACTGTAGTGAAAAATATTGTGTATGTTTATGCTCAAAAAACTCAAAATCAACCCTTGAAGCGCCCAAAAATATTTTTGATAATTGTGTATTGTAATGAAATGAATGAATGTTATCCCAGATTAAAAAAAATCCGCACCCCTTTTTTCAAATGTCAATCAGGTTGAATTCTTCTTAAGTGTAGGTGTACTCTGTTACTTCATATGGATTAAGTCTCTCAGGTATATTTCTGAGATAAATCTGTTTTGTGTTTTGGCACCATTTTCTAACGTACATTTTTGCTTGTATTTAGGTTGAGCTTGCTGTAAATGATTTATAGCTGTTATTCCATCACAAAAGACTTGTAGCTGGGGGAAATATGAAAAGCTTATTGCTTTGTAATGTGTTTATTGTTGAGATTTGAGACTTTGTTTCAAAATGAAGGATTCTCCTCCCCTTTTCTTTAAAAGACCAATCTCCCCTCAAAAGCCAAAGTGCTGCTGTTTATTCCTAGCTGTCTCAAAGTGGTAAAAACTTAAATCACTCTTACTTAATCTTTGCTCATAATACTCAGAAATATTGCATAGATTTTGTGAAGTTTTGAGAACATGTATTGAACATAATTATAGCAGTGTGTAGATAGAAAAGTTAGACTTGAATGTAATCAGGCTTGATAGAGTTAACACTTCAGAAAAAGAACTTCCCCGTTCCCTTCTCCCCCCTTCTCTTTATTTTGTAGCTGACATAAATATTAAAAGTCAAGTGTAATGTGATCCTATCAGACCAAGTCATTAAAAAGTTGCAGCACAGCATTCTGTGCAATCCCTGAGTGAGCTTGGGGAAGAAGGAAATGTGGTTATTGAGCTTGGGCTTTTCTTCAAGTCCAAAACATAAATACTTGTGTAGTGGCTTACCTGAAAAAATATTTCTGTGCTACATGTGAACTGGTTTCCAAGAAAGAATATATCTAAAAGTTATTTCAAAAGTTTTAGAGTAAGTGTGCGATCGTAGTTTTTTCAGTAAACTGGAGAGGAAGGAGAGTTGAGCTCTGCTGATTACAAAATATATGTTGATGAACAGGCTTCCATCATGCTGGGCTTAATGAAAGCTTGAAGCTCTCATAAAGCAAACATGAAGAGAAAGGTGGTTTGCTACTGAAATTGCTCCACAGTTCGAAGTTCAGGGAGAGCCTTCAGGAGACTTGCATTCCTTGATGAAAAGCATCAGAAGTTTGTCAGAGATGAGAAAACAAACAAATGCCCTCTAAACAGAGCTGATTCTCAATACCTGTTACGGGGTTTTTACGCACTGGAATGAGACTTTCCTGTATGACTAAAATTGCCAAATAACCATAAAACAAAAAGCATCCAACCACTTGCTTTTCAGTACTATATTAGTAACTGGAAAATCTCAAATCCTTTATGGTAACTCATCCTTCTTTCTGAAGCTATCATCTGGTCTTCTGCTGTATGAATTTGTCCGTCTTAGGCAATTACCCCAAATGAGTTAAAGCTTCTAACCTTATTTTTCCCCCAGCTAAGATGCTAATGCTCTTCTTTTGTTTTTTTTTGCTTTTCTTTTTTTCTTAGTGAAATGGTCTTTTCATTTTATCAGAGAATTTCCATGTTTTGTTGTTCTAAGTACAGAGTGGAAGGAAAAAAATTCTTCAGTTACTTTTGAAGTTGTAGACTTGCATTTGAAGTGTATCATTCCATGTATTAATTTTTTTAAATGGAAATAAAAATCCACATCAAAAAGCAAGTAATGTGAAGATTCCCTTTTGTAATTTCTCTGAGATTATTAGGAATGCCAGGCAGCATGTGGAGAAACACATGATCTGTCCTGTATAAAAATCCGGTACAGTTTAAGCTGCTTGCTTTTCATGTGTAGAGGACTTAAGAATATTATAAATCATACTGTGTTACTTGACATTTGTTCCCCAAAGCTTCTTTTTATGAACAAATTGTGTGATATGATCAGTGGTATGACCCAGAAAGCATTTTTCACTTTTTGTGCAAGAGACTATGTCTATCAAAGTAATTTGGCTTAGGTAAAAAGGTGTGTTTGCATCCTCTTTAACTTGTTCTTTTCATGCATTTACAAGAATATTTGCATTACTTCTCTTGGCTTTCTTACACTTGAGCCTTGTAGTTAAGCTGTCATTTTGGAATGTAATGGGAATACTACTGGTGCATTTAAAATCCTAGATTCAGCTAATTAAGGTTTTCATGCGTCTGCAAATCTCATCTTGAAAGGCTTATATCACATTCTGGAATTATGAGCTATGTTTCTGCTTCTGAATTCCTTATGTTGAATGAACTATATAGAAGCTCAAGAGGAGCAGGTGCCCTCAGTTCATTTATCTTTTCTGGGGTCATGTTTTACTGTTACAGAAGTCTGCAAAAATATTTAGCTTTATGAATCAGTTTCAATTAGTGGTATTAGGAAGGATGTGAGTCTGACATCTTGGAACCATCTGAGGTGGTTTCATGAGTAGGCATATAAGCTCATACAATTAAGTAGTTTCTCATACTTGTTTTGGTAATTTGCAGGGCTCTGTCTCTGAAGGAATGTTTCAGCAGAAATGGAGCTAGAAGAAATATGTTCAGATGAAATAAATATTTAAAGGACAGGTTTCTTTTTTAAACCAAAGTTAGTGGAAGTATTCATTTAATGTTGTCCAGCTCGTTTTGTGTCAACTTCTGTAGTGCAGGATTGAATCAATGGAAAAACAGTAACAGAAATTACAGAACTTTTACCAAGTTCTCCCCACATTTATTTTCTTTCTGTTTGGTTGACTTCATTGCTTTCTTTTCCTCTAGCAGGAAGACCACGAAAGTTGTGGTTCCAGTTCCACAAACCGCAGTACCACAGAAAGCTTGAAATCAGCAGTAAAATCACGACGAGTTCAGCAGTCTGCTTCTCCTGACCCTGATTTACCTCCAGGTAACCCATAATTTCAGAAACTGGTTAGATATTTTTCTGTAACTCAAATACAGAAGTTTATTCAGAGGACCACAGTGTTTAAGTTAGATTATTATGTTTTTGTCTACTTACAAATCACAAAGGTTAGTGAAATACTTGTATGTTAGAACCAAATCATAAAAAGAGTGGTTTAATGCTGATAACCTTTCTTTCCATTTAATCAAAATCTTAAATTCACATAACTCATTTATAGTTCAAGGTAGCATCATAGAATCATAGAATGACTTGTATTGGAAGGGACTTCAAAAATCATCTAGTTCTAACCCCAGGTATGGGAAGGGATGCCTTTCACCTAACCAGGTTGCTCAAAGCCCCATCCAGTCTGGCCTTGAACAAAACGTCTCTGGGCAACCTGTTCCACTACCTCAAAATAAAGAATTTCTTTCCATTATTTAATCTAAACCTTCCCTCTTTCAGTTTGAAACAATTATCCCTTGTCCTATCTGTACATACCCTTGTGAAAAGGCCCTCTCCAGCTTTCTTGTAGACTCCCTTTAGGTAATGGAAGTCTGCTATAAGGTTTTTCTGGAGACTTTTCTTTCTCAGGCTGAAAACCCCAAACTCTCTCATGTTTTATTAATGACTTTTATTGAGCACTGTATCTACTAGTGGAGATTTCCACCAGTATTTTTTACTGGATATGGAATTTCAGTGTGAACATGGAATTTGGATGCTGAACTTGGAGAAATTTTATGAAGTAAAAATGCCTAAGGATCTATGTATCTGATTACTATTGCCTCTGAGTTTGGATATGAGATGTTTCATGCAGAAGAGCAAAATTGGAGAGTACTGGAATGAATTGCAGTTTGCTGTCTTGGGTCATGTAATTTTTAGATAGGTTAAAAATATAGTTTTGTGTGAGGCTTTCTTGATGTCTTTTGTTAACAGAAACTTTATGCTTGACTTGAATCAAAAGACAACATTGACTGTTAGTGTGTGTAATACCATATGCTATGTGGTATCATCTTGCTTTGAAATCGTTACTTGAGGAGCCAGGGCTGGAGGGTCTCCTAGAGCTTAGTGGTCCAATAAACTCCAATAAACTTGGAATTGGGGGAAACAATTTCCTACCATGGACAGCGCTTCAGCTGTGGCAGCTCTGTGGAATCGGTTCTTTGGGTCGCATCTGCAAACAGCAAAAGTCAAAGGCTACCCAAAAATTGTGTGAATATATTCCTTTAGTGACATTTACAGGATTTCTGTAAGTTACCCCATTGTGGCGAAATTGTACCAATACAGTTGTATTAATGGTTATAAATAATGAAATTGTAAGTACAGGTGGCTTTGGTTTTGGTTTTGAGTGGAGAAATAGCACTGTTTAGTATAGATTTACCTATGTGGTAAAATGTCCTAAGATTTAATTTGTACATCCTGAATTTTAGTAAGATGTGGAATCCTATGCTTAGTGTTTTGTTTGGGGTGGTTTTTTTACATTCTTGGAGGATGTGTGTGTCATATTAGTGCTGTATTTTAAAAAACATTTATTTGTCTTTTTGTTTTAGTGTCCTTGGAGATTAATCTCCAGAGGCAAAGTTTAGCCAAAAATGTAGCCTTGGGAACAACAGACTCCTGCTAAACTTAAATTGTTTAGATCTGTCCACTCTGATGGTATTGATTCTATGACTACAGAGATACAAAATTTTTGGAGTGCTGGATTTTAAATTGCATTTGTAGCACTTAATGCTCAGTGCAGCCTTCTGGGTTCTGGACAATTTGAAAAAAAACACACTTGTGGACTTTGTGTTTCACCTCAGGAAAGAATTTAGCCCTACAGATTTTCTGGTGGTTTTATTCATGTACCGTAGAACACCTATATTTCAGTGGCAAAGATGCCCACAGTGTTATTCTTAGAAATCACAGGAGTGTAAGTAACCTTTACCTGCTTTTTCCCACTTCTATTTAAAACAAAACCCTTTTGAAAAAAACCAAATCCCAAACATGAAAAAACAACAAACCCTTTATTATACATGAACTTGCTGATGTTTTTATTACTTGATTTTGAATTGTAGGAATTACATTTTCTTGTAAGACTGTTTCTCACATGTGAAAATCTGCTTCAAGTAGATTTGAAGCTAAACTTAATCAGGAAGCTGGTTTTTTTGTACGATACTTCCAACAGTATGCTGTACCACTAGCTTGGAAATATCTTCATAGGTAGTTTTTAGCACATCCATGACCTCTGTTTTTTTTGGAAGATAGGACTGTGCTTCCTCTATTAATGCATTTAGCCAAAAAGACATACAGATGAAAATGGTGTTGCTCTTTTCCTGAAAGACTCTTGACAGCAAAATACTGGAGAAATTTTGAAGCTGTGGAGAGACAGCTTCATTTTTTTCAATGAAATTAGTAGCTTGCTTTAAAATCATAGTCAAATAACTGTTTATAATTTTATAGTTGCTAGTTAAATAGTCTGCAAAAATATTTCTAGGCTGAAATTAGGAAAAGGAGCTAAATGCCTTGTGCTGCTTTCTATTTATGTACATGCTGGTTTACATCACTCTAGTGATGAATATGGGTCTCTTATGCCCCTTAATTACTGAAATAATAAATCTGGTTTTCTGAGTTCATATAAACTAAAAATGTTATCGTTTGAAGGAGTCAGTGAGAAAATCCTTAAAAACAGGTTATTCCACATATTTTCCACTAGTTTTAGATTGATATACAGAAAAAACCAATTCAGATTATGTTAGAAATCTGACAGTACTAAGCTCTGAAAACATTGAATTTGACTGTATTTTTGGATTTCCTCTTTCTGGTCATTGAGGATTTTGAATCCTGAAAAAACAAAAAATTCCTATGTCAGCTGTTCTGGAACTCAAGAAAATCACTTATGTAATGGTAAAACTTTCCACATACCCTAAAGTGAATATATGAGTGTGAAAAAAATGAATACCTAGAAAAAGCAGAGTAGAATGGAAGTAGCAACTTAAGTATTTTCCTAGTTACCTGACAATGTTTTGATGTTCATTTTAATTTTTAATTTGAATTAAAATTGTTGACATTAAAATTGTTGACAGTTTTATTTAATGCACGTTTCAGAAAACTGCTCTTGAAGCTTCTGGGTTTAGGCCTCTATCATTAGCTAGCTTTTTACAGCACAGTCACCAAACTAGAACTTGATAGTGTCTACTAAATGTATTTTTAAATGTGTGTAATGTGATAAATTTGAAAACAGAGACATTTTAAGGCTTGCTTTTTTCTAGCACAAGTGAGTTGGGTGCACAGTTAGGTTCGGTATGCATGAAATACACGAATATGGGTAATATTTCGTCTTTACGATATTGTTAAAAACATGAATGTTTGCCACATACTGTGAATTCCCAGGTGAGATGATTTTTCCAATAACATTACATCTAAAAACCATGTAAATGGTAAAAACATGTAAATGCATTTGTTCCCAACAGGCTTCAGTGCAGGTGCTTACTATTTGGGTTGTTGACAGAAATTGGTTTTGCTATACCTCAGAGGGGTCTTACTGAACAAGATGTGGATATATGAGGTTTTAGAATTAGAAATACCAGGTGTGTTAATGCTTAGGTAACTTATAAAAAAAATGAGGGAGCACCTAGGCATAATATATGCACACTTGAAAAGTAACCTAGCAGCTGGTGTTCACTTTTCCAAACCTATTTCTAAATATCTCTCCAGTAAAAAAGTAATTGGTAAAATTCTTTGTCTACAGCAATCCGTAGTGTTCTGTTTTCTTAATTAGTTGTAAAGTGAATTAGTTTTTTATGCTCTATTGTATTCATAGTTTTAAAATTTTTTAATGATATCTTGCATTTCTAGGATGCTGATTGACTTAACAACTACACAGAATATTAAAGACTTTTAAGTTATGTTAATTGGGTAAAAATGATACATAGTTTGTTTAAATTTTGATTTTTTTTTAAAAGAGTGCAAGTTGAGAATAATAAATATATTGAAATAATGAATTTTTTTACTAAATAAATGAGTTTATCATGTCTTCCTTATCATTGCCAAGAATTTGTTTTAATTTATAGGTTATGTTCAGAGTTTGATTAGGCGTGTTGTAAATAATGTCAACATTGTGATCAACAATCTCATATTGAAGTATGTGGAGGATGATATTGTTCTCTCAGTCAATATCACTTCTGCAGAATGCTATACAGTGGATGAGTTTTGGGATCGAGCATTTATGGACATCTCTGGTGAGTAAATATTTTTTGGTTTTATGTGTCACTGTGGAGGCACTCAAATTCATACAGAAATGATTAAGCCTCATAAAAATGGCTCTTTTTTATCAGAAGTAGGACAATTTATGTCTGTTTTGATTTCCAATCAGTTTTTTCTCTTGTCTTTACCCTAATTCTGATGAGCCAACTGTATTCTATAGACTGATTCATACTACATCCTTGTCTGATCACAGATAGTCACACAAGATGCGTTGTACTCTGCTCACACTTGCCATCCTGTGATGGATGGTATTTGAATTAGTGCTTGCTCCTGGTAGTGAGTGCTTAAGCAAGTTTTGTGAGTGAGCAGTAGCACGTTAAGACGTTCCATTGCACTTGTTTGTGATGATCTTATAACCCTGAACAGGCTGGCAAGAGAGACAGTAAAATGTGCTCACTGTAGTGAGCACAGCATACCAGTTGCAAGACATGATTCATTTCACTTCACGTTTTCAGGGGAAGAAAGCCCCCAACTTCTGACTCTTTGTTTTGGTCTTCAGTGTTTGAAAGTTTCAGTCCTTAAATTGCCAGCACCTAAGTCTAGGTGCTCGTACTGACATTGGCTAGAGGTGGAACTGGGGCACAGTAACTGTGCTAAGATCACACACAAGATTTCAGGTAGAGTGTGGAATTCAATTAATGTTTTCCTGAACCTGTTTTTTTGTTCTGGCTAAAATAATTCCAAACTAATATGACAGAATCACAAAATATATTTCATGTTAAGATCACTATAAAAGCTCTTGTTTCTTTTGGAAGGTTCAAAAGAAAACTTTGGGGGATTATATGCAGAACTATTTCTGTGAGAATAATGAGAATGATAGTAATTGTGTGCTTCCACCTGAAACAGTACTCTTCTTTTATAAAAAGAGCTAAGTTACAGCAGACAGGGTGAAAATTTTTATTAAGTGTAACTAATTTGTCCTCACTTCCTATGCATTCAGCATAAAAAGCCTGACACAGGAAATTATCCTCTTTAGTCACATAAGCAAGTACTTTGATTTAAATAATGACTTAAAAACTGTCTTGTATTGCTTTCTTCTAGTTAAGAACCTGTATGCACAACTTATTTCTCATATGCAATGTATTTTTTTAACCTGTACACTTCTTTTAAAAGCCACTGATCTGGTACTGAGGAAGATGATCAACTTTTCTGACTGCACAGTATGTCTTGATAAGAGAAATGCTAGTGGTAAAATTGAGTTTTACCAGGAACCTCTGCTGTACAAGTGTTCCTTCCGGACTCGTCTGCATTTTACTTATGATAACCTCAACTCCAAAATGCCATCAATTATTAAAGTAGGTATCCAAAATAATTATTTTTGCTACTCACTTGTGAAGTTTTGAGGCTTTTAAAAATAGCCATTAAAATTAAGTAAAATGAAAAGCTAATACTGTTGTGTCTTGCTAAATGAATTTTTAAATTGTTTTGTTCATGTGGTGCAGTTAGTTTATGTACAGAAACAGCACCTAGGCAAGGAAGTTATGCTCTCTAATATTTTCATATTTTTCCTGGAGTTAAAAAAATCCCCCATAATTGTAAGGGAGGAAAGAAATTCTGCAGATAATCTGTTAAAAAAAACCCCTAATGGTATACTTTAGGGTGTCTGCAATAAGATGGAAAGGATTTTTTTGCCTTAAGTTATAGTTTCAAATGTAGCTCCAACTCTTATGAATAACAGGAAACATCAGTAGATTGACACTCTGCAGTGAACCACGTGAGATGGATTAGCAAGCCATACTCAGCTCCTAGTGAGCAGGGGCACATCGTTGTTGTTGTTGTTGTTGTTGTTATTATTATTATTATTATTATTATTATTATTATTATTATTATTATTATTACCCTTATAATTAATATTAATATTATCATTCTTTGTGGGTCATCAGATGCAGTTTTTTAGTGACTGCGTAAAATATTTATGGAATGATTGGAAAATATTTATTCCAATGATTGGAAATAGATGTATTTTATAAAACATATAAATAAATATGGAAAATATGTATTCCAATGATTGGAAATAGCTGGTTTTTTTCATAGGGCTGAAGCAAAAAAACCTGTTATTAGTTATTAGTAAATATAGCAACTTCATTAATGGAAATAAATTTAATTTGAGGATGCTACAAGCTTTTTAAAAGCCTCTGCTGCAAATGATATTAGTGTAGCTTCAGCACCCTGAAGGGTTGGTAACTGAAGGACAGTGGTTTTCCAGCTCAAGACAAAAGCCAGCAGTGCTCCATCTTTCTCTCCAAATCTGTGACGTTCTTGCTGGTGTGAACTTTAATACTATGTGTTATTAACTTACTAAAGCATGTCTGGTTTTAAGTCTTGATAGGAGGTTTCCAGGACATGTGCCCTTTTGGTTTCTTTGTAAGGGCTAGAACACTACTAATCAAAATCTTCATAATTTTGATTACTATGTCTATTGCTAAGTTTTGGCTAAACCAATCTTAGGGAGTTTTAATAGAGTTAAAACTTCTCAAAGGAGGACCATTCTTAAGTGCCTGGATATGTTTTTCCATGCTTTTGAATTGGGCACACTCAGCTCCTGCTTTTAGCTTTAGAATGAAAATAATGTACATGGGGGGAGGTGGCAAAACACACATAAAATTATTAGAGTTGTAAGCTTTTTGTTGCTGTTGTTGTAAAATTCATCATGGAATGAGGCAACCATGATGCAGATGAGCTGATATGGACTGGGGATGTGAGTCCTGCCTCCACCTCTTTGTAGCAGCACTGACATTTCTCTGACCTTTCAATAATCTAAATCCACTCACTGTGTTGACACTGTATTGGAAGCTAACTCGACACAAAGGTTAGAGTTTTCCTGCAGTTTTAGGGAGATGAGTTAATCTTCTGAGGGGCAGCTGAGTTCCACTGACAGAGGAATGATATTCATTGCCTACAATGCTGCTGTTTCTGTCCTCCACTAGGACATGTGCTCTTTGTGTGCCTTTAAAGAGGCTTCTGGCAAAACAATCCTTTATTTTTTTTTTTGCCTCTTCCACATGTTAAGAAATTGTTTACTCATTATCCATCCTGTTGTTCTTCTGCACAGAAAAGGTTTGCTGTTAACAGCTTTAAATCATCTGGCCTTGGAAAATTGGTGTGCAGGGATTAATTTTTAATTTCCAAAATGTATCTTAGGAGTTTACATGCTTTTTTCTTTCAAAGAATTAAAAAAAATAGCATAACTCTGACATCTGATGCCCCTTCCACATCTTAAGAAATTGTTTACTACTTATCCATCTTGTTGTTCTTCTGCACAGAAAAGGTTTGCTGTTAACAGCTTTAAATCATCTGGCCTTGGAAAATTGGTGTGCAGGGATTAATTTTTAATTTCCAAAATGTATCTTAGGAGTTTACATGCTTTTTTCTTTCAAAGAATTAAAAAAAATAGCATAACTCTGACATCTGACATATTTAATCTTGTCTGTGAAAACAGATAAAAGCTAATATGATGTTCTTACACATTCTCTGTGACTTGGGCTAAGACTTAATTAATTTGCACATTTGAAAGAGTTAGCTTGTATTTATACAAATACTGATTTTACCACTATAATATTAATTTACCCATGGATGTGCTATACTGTTTACAAAGTAATTATTCATAGCTTTTGAATTGGTTTGGATTAAGGCCAACACTGATATGTAATTACTTTTAATTTCCATTATTTTCACCTGCAACATTTAGAAACTGGACCTGGAATTGAAAATATGTCTAATGTTAGACAGTGGTTTTGGCACAATAATTTTATTTTATGCAGCTCTTACTTAATGAAAGGTGCCTTTCTTATCTTGTTTGACTTTGACATTGTAGAATGATCACATACTCAAAATATTTTGAAGTGTGTAGCTGTTTTACAGCTAAATTTTTTTTAAAAAAGGATAAGTTTTCATGCCAACAATTTTAGTCTTGTAAAGCTTTCTTTCATTTAGTGAAAGGTGCCTTAACTGCACGTTTGAAACAGAGTATTCAGAGGAACCAGTTTTCTGCACTGCAGTTAGAATTAATTCTTCCCCCCATTACTTGGGCCACTTGGAACAATGTTTGGAGTGGGAAAGAATCAAAATGAAAGCCCTTGTATTTTAAAACCAGTATATCTAGATTTTATCTCGATATCTAGGTTAGTTAGAGCATGCAGAGATTTTAAAGAAACTCTGTAATGAAAATAAAATTAGTATGTTGTAAGAGCATTTATTAAATGCTCTTAACATCACTTAGATTTGAGAAAGTTCTTCAGCAATAACTTTAAAAAACAAATACATAAATGTTTCTGTGTGTGTAAAACATGTTACACTTAATTTTTCAGCTGAAGATCTCTTGTGTGACAACCCAAGTGAATGTTTTTGGTAGATTTTTTTTTCAGCCCTTTGCCTTCTGTTGTATTGCAAATCTAATTTTTGGAGATAAAAAGCCCATACCAAATTAATACAGAGTTGTATGGTTTAAAACTGGGCTTTACTCATGACAGAGCTTTGTTATTCTTTGTTTTTGTTCTCTTTTCATGTTACAGATTCACACATTAGTTGAAAGTTTGAAACTTTCAATCTCTGATCAGCAGCTTCCTATGTTTATACGGATAATGCAGCTTGGGATTGCTCTGTATTATGGAGAAATAGGCAACTTCAAAGATGGAGAAAGTGAAGATTTGATTTGCCACACTAAAGATATGTTGGGAAACATCACAGGTAAGTACAGCTGTTAACGTGTAAGAAGAAATGCTAAAAACATTAATTTCTTTGGTATTACATTTTTGCAAATGCAAATATCCCAGTCTAGTTCTTGCCAAGTATCTTGTCAGTCTGCAGTTTGCTAGAGGCAGTTCATTGTGCTGGGTAAGGATATAGTGCTTTAACATGTTTCATGTTATGTTCTTTAAGGAATTCTGATGGTCTTAATTAAACTGAGGTTTAATATGATCTAAAAAGATCATTTCGGGAGTTGTGACACTGTAGGGTACTTCGGATTTATCTGTCAATATATCATGAATCAAGGTACCTTTCCATAAACAAGTTTGAAACTGGTAGCAGCCACATTTGAGCTGAATAAGAGAAAAGCCAAAGTGTGCTTCTGAATTTCTTTGAAAATGGTCATTGAGAATAGATATATCAAAACTTGTTCTAAGCAAGGAAATATTACTTTGCACTGTTTCCCACAGTTGTCTCCTTTTACCTTGTCTCGTCTCAGCTGCTGTTTATTTTCATAAAACATGTATTCCTTCTTCTATGTGATGTTTTGTGGTAGCGTAGTGCAACAGGATCTTTTCAGGAGCATTGCACTGATGAGGGGTGAATTGTCTTTTTCTTTGTGTGATTGCTTCCCATCTTTGTGTGGTTGCTTCTCATCTTCCCATCATTGCTTCTCAAGCACATGGGGTGGGCCTGGAGTTGGACTCAATGATCCTTGTGGGTCCCTTCCAACTCAGCATACTCTGAAATTCTGTGAATTTATTTAGAGATTTGTATTTTAATTTTAATCTCTTCAAGACAGAAGTTTTTGTTATCTTTCCAAGATTGTATTTGAACCTGGGGGAACAGGAAGATAAATTTACCTCACCTAAAAAATTCTTCACATTTCATTTGAAGGTGACATAGCTCTCTTAAGCTAGGCTTAAATTTATAATATTACAGCAGTTTAAAGCTATATATAAACTATTAAATAATTTTTTTTTCTGTTAAAGAAATATACCATTTTAATTTGCATTAGGAGACTTAATTTATTTTAATTCTGTGTTGCTGTCTTTGTCTTCTCTGGTTTCAGAGAAATAGATACATGATTGGTAAATGACAGCAGTGAAAATTTTTTTTCCAAATACGGCCCTCACTGTTGTTTGGCACAGATGATTGTTCCACTCTTATTTCAGATGTAGAATCCTCTGTCATGTTACTGCTGTGTGGAACTGAGAAAACAAATAAGATATCTGTAAATAGTTCTCTCATTTTCTCTAAAGATGAGTTTTCTGCACTAGAAACTCTGCATTGCAAGCATGAGTTCATTACACAAGACATATGATTAGAAGTAATTAATATTGTGCAAATATTGGCTTAATATTCTGCTGAGACTTTAAAAGCATACAAGTTTTAGAAAAATCGTCAGTGTGTATTTTAATAACTTTCTGTATCTAACCAATGATTTGTACTATTTACAGGAGAACGTGTCAAGAAGTTTTCTCTGAAGCACCACATTGCCCTTGCTTTCAGACAGAGGGTTGTCTCTGTATCATGAATATCTTTCTTTTGTTAGTATGAAGTTTCCCCCAGATTTGGCTAACTGTTTATTCCACAGAGAATGACAATGTATTTAGAGTTGCTTGAATTTTGTGGCTCCATTCCTGGAGGCAGTAAGGCAACCAGGGCCATTTGAATACAGGAAAGACAGAGAAAGAATAAAGAAATCATATGACTCAATATAAAAACAGCTGGGATGGGTAAGAAATGACTTTAAGATGAAAAAACAAAAGGATTTGAGACAGAGTAACTGGGTATGAGAAAACTGCAAGGAAGCTTTAACTGTGGAAGAGGACAGAAGTCAGCAGAGCTATGCGGGTTTTACTCGGCTTCTTTTGGTTAAGGTGTGAAAATGTGGTGATACAAATATGGTTGAAGCAAAGATTAATGTTAAAAGGCATCTGCCTACAATACTCAGGCTCTTTTGCATCTAGAATTAAATTTGAGATTCTTACATCCAAATATATGTAAAATCTTTGGCAGTCCATCTTGTCATCCCTATTTTAATGTATGCCTTCAGGAAGGTTGAATTGCAATTGCTGCTGGTCAGTCCCATTTGCATTCTTTTGAACAACTGTCAGTATGACTTCCTAGCTTTTCATAAGACAGCCATCTAACAAAGAAATAATATAATGTAAATCCACACTGTTACACACAAGATTTTTCAGAAGGGTCAGTGATAAGACTAAGATTGCAAAGGAAATCTGTAATTTCCTACACAGATTTTGTTCAACTATGCTGTGCTCTAACGTTATCATTGTATTTTACAGAACTATCTCCTTCAGAGCACAAGACAGATGGCAGTTGTTGGATGGCCAAGGCACAGATGTAGAGGCAGTTTTAGAAGCCCATTTATATCTTTACTGCACAATATTTTGCCACACACAGGCTCAAATGGTCATGCCACTTATGCTTTTTTCCAGTGTCTTAGTTGTACCTTCTTTGGTTTATAGCAGACAAATTGTGAATAAGAAAATGAATTTTCATGTATACATTATTTAGTGACAAAAGAATGAACATCTCTGTCCTTGAAGCATGTACATAAGTTTCACTCATACAGTTTCATGGCTGATTCAATGAGATGAAAATTCATGCTGTTGCCAGCAGGGATGCATTCCTTCCTTCTTCCTCTAGTGCCCGCACTTGTATTCATGTAGCCACAGGCGAGGCTGGATCACCCATACCTGGCTGAAAACATGTACAGATAGGGAAATAAATAGATAAATACCAAGAGAGTAATTTTCTGTTGGGTTAATTCCAGATTCATGTTGAGAAATACCAGTTTCCAGACTCCTATTACAGATAAATATCTCAAACCCTTTAAAAGAAAGTAAATTTCTGAAGGTCAAACTTGATTTGAGCATGCAAGCAGTGAGATGCAGTCAGGCTGTCATCTTGTAATATATATAAAAAATGTATTTCTTAACTGGAATCATTGCCCTGCATTATGGAGGAAGATTTCCAGTGTGAACTCACTAGGAATGGCTAGGCAAAATGTCTTTAGAAGCCTGATGCAGGGTGACATTTTGTCCTTTGAGAGACTCATATAAGTAAACCTAGGGGTTTTTGTCACTATGTTTTGCTATCCGATATGTTTACAGGCAATTAAGTGGTTAGTGTAGTTAGTTCAAAGCCAAGAGACTTTGAGACTTTCATATATTCCTTGTTATAAATGAATTTACATTGTATTTATGTTTGTAGTGTTTAGAGGATGTTGTGTGTTGTTTATGAGGCTCGCGTGCATGATTTTCTTAAGTTTGGTGACTGTATAGTGGCTGTAGTAGTTTTAATTTAGTGATAGAAAATAGCTATATCTTCCTTTTTCAATTTTCTGTCTCACGGTATATAGATAGAGGAGCTAGGGTAAGATGGTGCTAATTTTAATGTTTTCCAAAATGTTAAAAACTATAGTAATCCAGATTGTTAGTTGGCATATTTTTCTGTTATCTCTGTGTACTTCAAAAAAGGGAATGCTAAATGATGGCTGAAATTTATGGCCAGGCAGACCAAATGTTATGCATGACCCAGGTTCTACAGCTCCATCTTTTTTTCAGTTCTTGCCAGGCCTTCCACCATTTCTTTTGTGCTTGCCTGCAGCAGTCTATACTAAACTACTTGAGTCATGATCAGTATCACTTCTTTTGCTTCTACAGCTGACAGTTCTTCCTCTTGGCTGTTTCCAAGATTTTATGTGCACCTCTTCTGTATTTGATGTCTTTCAAGATTTGCTTCTGGATTTAAATCTGCTCCTTGAGGCTTGGGTGAAGAGAGCAGAAAGGGAGCTTGCACTGCCTTTGTGGGAGGAGGTGCCCTTGCCTCTTAAGTGTGGGCAGAGAATTCTCAGGAGTGTTTTTTATTCCTCTTTTTTCAGTTATGCAAGTATAAATAGAGTAATAGGCTAAAGACTAATTAGACTAAACAGTAAAAGGTCTGAAACTTGTAAAAATGGGATCTCTGAGCTTCAAAATATGTGAATAGAATTGGAATATGCCTATTTCTGTTCTCAGTTAAATGAGTCATTGAACATAACGTTCACCTTCAGTAGCAGTGCTGCATCCTGTACTACCTATAGTAATTCTGAAGTATTTAATAGCCCTCATGAGTCCCATAAGAGTGGTGATGAAACCAGATAAAAGCTATTTGTGCTCTTTGTACATGCATTACCTACCTGTTTGGATCATGAGTCTTAGACATGAATCTTTGGGGAAATTCTTGCTTTACTCTGCATGCTATCTCTACTGATTTTCACAGATGACCAACATTTTGACTTTTGACTCACAGATGGATACCAGCTTTTTTGAGAATAGATTGACTTGTAGTTGGTTATGCAGTAGCACAGATTAACTTGAAGTACTTTTGAATTTAATTTTAAAATTGGAAACTACAATATCATTATATGACTATTTAGTGAGATTTAATTTTACAGCTTTAGAAGCTCTTTAATGGAAGGAGTCTTGAAAACCTGTGGTATAGATGACAAATTCTGGTCTCACTCTCTAAAACTATGTCAAAGACCCTTAATATTTTTTGGAGGAAAATGTTAATGAATCAAAGAAATGCTTGGAAACTCATATTCAGTAATTTAAAATTTCCACTGACTTCCTATGATTATAAGCCAAGTATTAGTGAATGCTGTGTGGAATACTGTCCACGATAAATTTCACATACCACAAATTTGAGTTTAATAAATACATTTTTAAGTATGGTTTATCTGAAATTTAGTTTGGTCTTTGTTTTAAAAGGCACAGAAGATGAAGCAAGCTCAGTAATGCAATATCCTACACAGTACATTAGTCAAGATCCTTATTTCCATCAAGATGATGACCAGCAACAAGGATGGGTTTCTTGGGCTTGGTCTTTTGTTCCTGCTATTGTGAGTTATGATGATGAAGAGAATGATTCTGGTGGAACTGGTGATGGAACAGCAGAACAGCAGAAGTCTCAATCCCTCAAGGATCCTATTATTTCAGTTGGATTTTACTGTACAAAGGCAACTGTGACTTTTAAGGTAAATATTTCTCTGTGTCATATAAAGGATTCATTTGACTTATTAAGGAAGTGCATAAAGATTTTCTGAGCATTTAAATACTGTTTGATTCAAGACAAATATTGTTGGTATTATGAGGGGAGTATTAAGTTAATGAATAACAAGAAATGTGAATGCTGAAATTCCTCTTCCATCATACTGGACTGATAATGGCAACATGAATAGTTTTTATTATTTGAGCTAGAATTTGAGTGTGAACTTTATAATGTTCAAAGTAAACCACTTAATTTACTTAGATTAATATTTTTTTGATGGGAAAAAAGCCTGAAAGCTTTCTGTGAACGTTCACTGCAGTATTCTATTTGTCTAATGTTTATACAAATACATATTTCTTTATACAAGCCCCTCTAATTTATAGCTAGGATTGGAGGAATTTTTAGAGACTACTCTTTTTTTGGACTGTTGTATGTAAAAATACCAATTTAACTTGATAATGTTGAATTAATTTTCCATGGGTTGAGTTTTTATTGAAGGAAAAAAAGATAAGGAGTGCATATAGGCTGAGCTATAAATAGTGTACATAGAGAAAGATTTAATATTGGCTCTAAACAAAGCTGAAAATTATTGCTGGCCTTCTCTCTAATATTTTGCAAGCTTGCAGAAGAGAACATGGAGAGTCTGACTAAGCTATTGAGATGTACTGACAGAAATTAGAAATTAAGGTATTGAATTAGCAGAATACTTGTAAGGTGTTAAACTATTTGCAAGCAGTTCTATGTGCATAGCTACACCGGGTGGCTCTTGGCTTTACAATTAAGCATGTGTAAAATCAAGGTCAGAACTTTGCCACAGAGTAATTTATGGTGATTTTTGTGATTTAGAACCTTTCAGATTAACTGCAAGACTTCTGTAACTCTCATACAGAAATTATGTGCCTGATTATACTGAGTACCATCAGGAGCTCCCGATTCCTTTTTTGTCTGTTTGGCTTGACTGTGCACAAGAATGTTGTATGGGGCTTTATGCCTCATTTAGCTATTTTTGTTTTGTAGTGCAGAAGAGCATTTAGCTGCTCAGCAACTACCAGAAAGGGTGAGACAAGTGACTTTGGAAGCTGTCGATATTCTGTGGGGATGTTGATGTTTTAAGCCTTCAGCCTCCTGAAAAATTTGGTTGAAAAATTTGAAGATATCAACAGCATTCAAGTGTTCAGTTGTGTTCTTTTGTGTTGATCTGCTTCAGCTCTCATTAAAAGGCTAAAAATAAATAATATAATTTTTTCCCTCCATTAATCATGTTCCTGGGGCACCGCTTGAAACATGAACAAGCCACTAAAGTTCAAGTTTTTAATTTATCATAGCTCAGTGTCTTCTTTTACACTATGTCATACAGTAGTAATTTTGTGCTCTTGTTCCTCATGCAAGAAAACTCATTAAAAATAATATGAACTTATTTTTTGAGCATGTGTTTTGCTAGAGAGGGTTTTCCTAATGCTTCATTTGCAAATTCACGCATTTTAGGAAGTGATTAAAAACTACTCAGAATGTAACATTTTGCATTCTAGAAATTTTAAATGTGATGTATGATGCTAATATGGTGACAGGAGGAAAACAGAATTCATTGTTCTGCTTGCATGCAAAGAGTGTATGGAATTAATTTGTGGTTCGTATTTTGGTTAAAAAATAAGGTCAAGTTTCTGCATTAACATTTTGAACAGTTGATATCATTCCAGCTAAAAATCATGCCAAATTAAATGTACCATTTTCTAATAATGGTGAAAACTATTCTTGTAATTTCTGAGTTCTTTTAATCAATTAATTGCTTTTCCTCTGCAATAATTGCACACAGGTGAAGGGTGATCAGTGACTTTTTTCATCCAGTTTTCTTGGACATTCGGATTACAAAATTTTAAATTGAAACAGCATCATCCATGTGTATCCAGTCTTGAAAAACAAAGAGAGTGTGCAGATATTTTTATAAAAATTAGAATTTGGAGTATTTAAGCAGTTCACCATAAACTAACTTGAGTTTTTTTATGCCAAATGTAATATATCCAATATAGAATGCCTCTTTTTACTTGTTTTTCTTAGCTGTAGGTTATGTGCTTTTTTACCTGTACATGTTTTCCCATTTTGAATTTTTATATCAAAATCATGCAAGAAATATAAATGTATGTTGCTCTTGATTGCCATGACATGAAACAAAAACATGTATGGTTATAATCAAAATGTGTCTGCAATATTATAATGATGTTTAATTATTTTCTGGGAAGAATAAGTAAAGTATTAATGGATTTTTACAGCAGTTTATAAACTTATTTGATACTTATAGTGCAGCTGTGTATCTGTTTAATCTTTTCATAGAGTTTCTCTTTAGATAAGCAAACTGAAAATACTGTAGTGGATTTTAAACATTCTGTTGTAGCATATTTCAAACAGAAGTTGAACATGAGACATTCTGATATGGATAATGTGCTACAGCTGTTTAATTGCACCTGTTTCCTGACAGTTAATGTATTTTTGCCCATAGTTTACTTTGTCTTTATCAGTTCTGTGTATTAATGACCATAATGTTGTTGAATACTACTACTGACTTTTACAAGGTGTTTATCCTGTTGTTCTGTAGCTCACTGAAATGCAAGCTGAAAGTAGTTATTACAGCCCTCAGAAGGTAAAATCCAAAGAAGTTATATGCTGGGAACAAGAAGGAACAACAGTTGAGGTAATTTTACATTGACATGGCTTTTTTTGATACATTTTAAGCAATATACCAAATAGTTTCCAGTAAAATATTTTAAAATTATTTAATTGCTGATGTTTCATATTCTGTTATATTGGATGTGTTTGTTGTAATAATCATTAACTCTAGTAGACATTAACTCTTTTAAACTTCTGTGCTGTAGTGGTTGAACGCTATAGTAATCCTGTCCTTTCAAATGCCCTGTATGATCGCTATTTATTAAAATTCTAAATATATAAACTAAGCATATTTTGCTTCATTTTTGTCCATCTTCTCTATTTCTTGTGCAGTACAAGGCTTAAAAATTTATCACTTTTTTCTTTCTCCTCACTAGGTCCTTATGAAAGGTGAACTTTTTTTTGATTGCCAAATAGGTTTTGTTGGTTGCCAAGCTATGTGCCTTAAAGGAATTATGGGAATTAAAGATTTTGAGGAGAATATGAATAGGAGTGATGAAGTGAGTATGTTGGAATATCAGTTGATTTGCTCAGTAAGCAATTTTGTTATCCTTTATTGAAATATCTGATTGCAAAAATTGAAAAGACTGCTGTTACCAGCTGTGATTTTTGGATATTACTGTGATACAGAACTCAGTGTCCCTTCTTTAGAGTTGAAAAGATTAATATCTCAGATTGAGAAGAGGCAGAACATGAGACTTATTTTTAATCTTCTTGCACAGTAACCCATTGTTGCCTTTGTGATTTTGTATAACAAGTTAAAATATATTTGAAAATCTTTGAAAGTACTTAAATCAACCAAAGATTGGAAGGGAAAAAATGGGAACACTGTATGGTGAAGATAATTGAAATGTGGCACAAATAGTGAATGAATGTCCTACCTCACTTTTCAGTAAGATTGAGAGTAGTATAAAGGAAGGAGCTAGAGTTAGGAGTATGAAATAAAGGAGTTAGCAGTATTAATTTTTGTATTTTAAATAGATGTAAATCTTCAGTTGTTTAAGAAAAAATCAAATGTCATTATGAACTACTTTAAAATTATTTAATGAAGGGTTGCATGAAAATCTGAATTCAATCATGATGATTTTTAGTTGATGTGTAGATAGGGTAAAGCCCTAAAGTATTGGAGAACTATTATTTATGTTTAAATAAAAACAAATAATACAGCTAAGAAGAGACGTGTTAACTTGATGTTAGCGCTCTGTGAAGTCTTATATTCTAAAAAGGAAAATAATGAATATGGAAGAAAATAACAAGTGCCTGTATTTATGCCAAGTATCTCCTAATCTGGGAAATTGTATGCTGTGTTATGATAGATGAGGGGGCAGCTTCTTACCTTTCTCTGTGGGAGCACCATGGCTTGGCACCCATCTCTGGTGTTTGTGTGCAGAGCGGAAAACAAGAAATGTCATGACATGACTGCTGAGTATGACATAGGGATTTTGGGGATGCAGTGGGACACACTGCATGACTGCTGTGCTGTTATGGATACACACAAGGTTTTGCAGAAGGAGAGGCTGGGGAGGCAAGGATGAGCCAACTGTAAAAATCCTGTGCTGGCCTTGTTAAGGACAAAGGAAATGTGGTTGGGGATGTGAGGGTGGACAGCCACCTTGTCTGTGGCAACTGAGATTGTCGGGTATAAAATCTTGAGAGAATTGATTTTTTAGAGTGAGGTGGGTGGGCAATTGAATTTCACAGAATCATAAAATAGTCTCTGTTGGAATGTACCCAGAAAAAACATCAAGTCAAACTCTTAAGTGATATATACAGGGATTGAACCCACAACTGTGGCATTATTACCCTCATGCTCTGACCAATGGAGATAATTTCCTTTAAGTTAGTTGATAAGGGACATTTGAGGGTTTTGTTCTTACTCATTTTTCTGCCATTCTCTAGTCCAGGAATTTAGGAATATCTGCTTTATGACAGTGGTGATGACACTACTTGCCTGTTGTCTGTGTACTGCTGTGGTTGTGGGATTGGTCCTTTTATAAAGGTTCTGGCTCTGCCTGTGATTGAGAATAGATAGTTGAAAAAATAAATCTCTTAAATAACTTTTTTGGATTAATAACTCTTGTTAGGAAAGTTGTATTGATTTCAGAAGGGTAGAAGTCTGGGAGGAGGCATGTTAAAATCTAGATGAATAAAGAATGATAATGTAGCAATGAGGTCATACATGGAAATAACTGATTGCCTGAAGATGATGAATACATCATCTGAAAGGATTGGGCAGCCAGAAATGGAGTGTGCAGTGACAAGTTTGTATACAGAAGAGGACTGGGGCAAGATTTGGAGTGATGATGATCTGAGATTATTTGCTGTTAAAATGCAGCTAATGTGTTCTGTATCATGAGTTGTAAAATATTCATTGGTTCAGGCAATTTTTATTGATTTGAAAATGGGGAAAGAGTGGACAGAAACTTGTGTTATACAAATGAAATTAATTTCATTGTTTCATCTTCATTCATAATGAAATATACTCTTGAGGGTTACTACTCTGTGTGTATCATATTTGTGTTATGACAGAATTGAAACTGCTCTGTTAACTTGACTCTATTTTTTTTCTTCCCTTGCCGCTTTCTACTTCCCAATGAAGGAGGCATGCTTCTTTAGTTGTGGAGAAAATTTGAGCGTGAAAGGAATGACATACCTTACCAATTCACTATTTGATTACAGAAGTCCAGAAAATAACAGCATTCGTGCAGAATTTATATTGGATGCAGCTCATCATAAGGTCAGAGAATTACATTTGTCTTATAAAAAATTTCCAGTGCTCTCTAATGGATTTCTTATAATTATTTAGATCTGTGTACTATTAGAGGACTGAATTCTCCTTGCTTTTACACATTTAACTGAATCTTACTTTGCAGCTGGCCAAAAAAAAGAAAAAAAAAAGTAAATCTGTTTGTGTTAAAAAAAGACACCCACAAAAACCAAGCCAAAAAAAGAGCCAAACTGAAAAAACATGTCCAAAAGAAACCTCAAACTCCTCTCTTGCCCCAAAAACTGAATTAATGTCATAGTTTCCAAAAGCAGTAACCACAGAATATTTTAAGAGGAAAAGAGACATATAAAAGAATACTAGCAAAAGTCAAACTTTACCAGCATGTATTTTAAACCCAAACAGTAAGGAGTCTATGGTCTTCAAACTAAGAAGTGCTGTCAGATTTGGACAGTATTAATTTTATTGTTTGCATTCTGAATTGGTCTGCTTAGAGAAAATTTTGCCAATTCTGCCTTTTGTGGAGACAAATTTTGAGTCACTTCTAGTCTCTGTTGAAATTGTGCAGTAAAACTTTATTCCCTGGTTGTCTGCCATTATTAAAGATCGGTTGCAATGACCAAAGTGGTCCTTCCCAGGTGTGTTCATAGGTGGAGGTCTGTGCTGTTTATTGCACAGGTAAGCCAATTACAATTTTGGAATGTATCTAATTTCCTTTTAATTTAAATTTAACTATTTTCACCTTTTCAGTATTACTGATGAAGTGTAGCCCTGAAGAATCATGTGAAAAAATGAGTTTAGTAAAATCACAAGTACTTATGTTCAAACTGTTCCCATAGTGTGTTTTAAGCTTTACTCTCTCCTTGGTCTGTCTTTGATGCTTTCACTATTTGCCCATTTTTTTGGCAAGGGAGGAAGCAAATTTGCTGTGTGATGTATTATATTATGTATGAATTCCAATGTGGGCATAAAGTCTTGATAAGTTTCCTACCGTTGAAAGATAAAACCACAATATTCCTTGAATAGCAAAGCCAAATTGAGCAAGCTGAAGTTTTCAGTGTATTTAATTAGGTTGATGTGTTGCATGCAAGAGGTCAAATGAAGAACGTTTACTTCATTAAAGGTACTAATTGACTAGATGTTATTGATGAATTGGTCAGCATGTCCACAGGAATTATGAATGTGCATTTGTGTGGCCTCAAATGGAAGTTACATTACCTATCAGAAGGGTGAATTCTTTGTGATAACCTCTGTTCTTTGCTTTGATAAGCCTTTCCCTGTGTTGATGCACAAATCCAAACATGAATATATCTCTCTAATACCAGTCTATCAGTTGGTAATCTCAAGATTCTCTCCTTATACAGCATTTTCTTTGTTTGCTTTGCTTTGTTGGTAGGAGACATACACAGAGATAGCTGGAATGCAAAGGTTTGGGGCTTTCTACATGGATTACCTGTATACAATGGAAAGCACCAGTGGCAAAGGTACCTTTTTTCCCTTTGTTTACCCTGATAAATAATAGAAACAAAGACTTCATGCCCAGATGGTCCTTGACCAACTGTCCTCTAACTTACCTTAGATTTACCATCAGGGTTGTCACTAAAATGCTTTCATCTTCATTGATGTTTTTCAGAGGTTACTTGTTTTGGTTAGCTGTTGGTTGTTGCTATTCTTCTTTTTTTATTTTTCTTTTCCTGCGTAAGTAATCGTAATGATATTTTTATAGCCAGTTGCTGAACTGAAAGAAATTATCTTGCAGCAGTGGTGTAGTTCATAAAGTATGCAGTCTGTTTTTTTTTTTTTTTTAAAGCTGTTATTGTTACTTTGCATATTAAAAATATCTTGAGAAACCCTGGTTGAAGAATGAGATTCATCATATACTTGGTATAGAAGATGAAAAGTACTATTGTTTTTCTTCTATGAAAAAAAATGCAAGGATGCAAGAAAGTGTGAAGAATTATCTTGAAATATATGTATCTAAACAATTTGATGAGCAAATATTAGCCTAGACATGAGCACATAGATATTGGTTAATTCAAAATAGTTTTTGTGATTCCTAGAAATTATTTTCTAAGTCTGAGAAGTGAATTTAATGAAGTAAGTATATGTACTTCTGTGAGTGTCACAAAAGCTGGGACAAAGGAGTTAATCTATCAGCAAGTAATATGTTTATATTTTTCACAGATATTTTAATCACTGATTGTGATATAATTTCCCCCTCACTCCTCAGAGCACTGTCATTTACAGCTGCTGTTCTGCAGTTTTACTGTCAAATTAATATTACTTTCTTCCCCATCTGTGTATTTTTTATTATGAGTACTATTTCTCTGGATATCTCTTGGGAACTTCTTGCTCTTTTATGACTGAACCTCATTATCTGTCCTTGCTACATAGTCCAACTCACCTGGGTTTTTTTTTTTGTGTAAGAGAAATCACAACTCTTAATGTTTGTCTTTGTTTTCTGGATGTGGTGGACATTAAGTCTAAAGGAGTAGGAAAGAAACTTACAGTTTCCTTAGAGAGGGATCATGAAACATTTACAAAAATAAGTAAATGATGCTATTGCCCTCAGCAGTAGAGGCATACACCAGGAAATTTATCAGTTCTTTCCTGACTCTGAGGCTTTCATCTGTACCATGAGAGTGGTGTGAAGCTCTGAAAATTTACAATTAAGTCAAACATATACTTCAGACTTCTTCTGGTTTTAATAACAATACAAGTGTTTAATTGCACATTGAACTCCTAAGTAGAGAAGTTGAAAACCTCAGGTAAGCCTTATCTCTTTTTGAATCTTAGTGTAGAAATTTAAGTATGCACAAACTATGTGCATTATGAAGAAAAATTGATTTTGTGGAGTATTTTTTCTTGTTTCTCTGAATGCATTAGGAATGTTATGGTCATATCTCTTCCTGACTTGTAATTAATGCTTTTCAGAAATTTCTGAACTCAGAAACATTTTTTTTATTTTCCTCAGTGTCAGACTATTGTATTTTCTGACTACATTTTTCCCTCCTTAGCTTCTCTTTTTTTTTTTCCTACCAGGATGATTTCTTATAGCCTTCCTTCTATTTTCATAATCAGTCACTAGGAAAACACCCCACAAAATGTAGCTTGGCTTTCTATCAAGTCTTACTGTGTGCTTTGATTTCAGTATTGTTCCTTTAATTTCAGGAACCTGGATATGTAAAATAATTGAATAATTAATTTTAAAATTATTTAAATGGTTTTTGTTTCTCTAGAGTCAAGAACTTAAAATCTTAAATTTTCAAATGGTTTTATTCCTCAGAAAAGCAAATGTGATGCTTTCTGCTCGCTATTTTCCACCTAATTTTTTCCATGTTGTGGGTTAAATGCAGAGTTGTTAAATAGAATGTAAACAAATAGGTGCAAAATATTTGTTTAAGATGAAGGTATAAGATTTTGAAAACAATCTAAATCTGCTGCATTTTTAATATGTTGTTTATCTGAAAGTTTGCATTTTACTATTTCTTATTTTGGTATAACAGTTTTTAGTTACCATTACTGCACCCCACATACCAAAAAAACCCCAAAAAACAGCAAACCAAACTTAAGTTATAGGAGGCAGTTACTGTGATTGTAAGATTTTTATCTGTCAAGGCAATTTTGGTTTGACACATTCTTTGCACCTTTAACCTTTCCTGAAGCATAGGATTACTGATTAAACCACAAGTGCCTCCTGGATAACGTTAACCCTCAGGAGTTTCATCTGTCATTTACAGAAGTGCATTAATCAATTTCAGCATTTTGAATGAAAGCAAGTCATGCACAGTAGTCGTATTTAGACATTTTGTCTGTCTTCCCCTTCCTTTATTTTTCTGTTTTTTTGCTTAGTATTTCAGTGCAAAAGAATTTCTCTGAAACATTATGTAGCCTGTCAGATCCCTGATCACTGATTTGCATGACCTACAGACCTAGCAGGGTGTGCTGTTAAAGTCACCTTTTGTTTGTAATGTGTACCTCTCTACTGTGCTGGCAGCTTGATTATGCAGCACTTATTTTGATATTTTTGGTTAATTAGAATTAGACATAAGATTTACAGAGAGCTTGAAAACTTGGTGGTTGAAAATTGGCTTTCTTTATGCATCCATGAAATTCCAAGTCACCAGTGCTTACCTACTTCTGCAGAACCAGTAGGTTTTCTACATTGTCTATTTGCATTTAGGTGGAATTAACTGGAACTGTTCCAAAAAGTGGTTTGTATGAATTCTGTCACTTAGATATATTATTCATATACATACTATATATACAAGCAAGTCTGATTTTTCCTCTTTGAAAAGGCAGGCTGTTATTACTTCTGGCCTTATTATTTTTCGCCTTATTATTTTTTATGTGATGGTATGGTTTTTACACTCTTTGGTAGTGTATTCACTACCAAAGTAGTATTCATCTGAACTGAATACCGTGTAGAATTGGAAGGATAAAAGTATGTATGTTAACTGCCTATAAAATAAATGCAGAAGTCAGTATGCTGAGTTTTAAAAAAATCTCTTTCAGGATTCATTCAAAAGATGGTAATTCAGTTCCAGCTGAAGATTTGAGTAGGTTTTATAAGGAAGTATTCTTCTGTCCTTTTATCTTTCTTTTATTGTTCTCTTTCTTCTCAGAAAAACAACAAACCAAGGGAAGCAGAGGCTATAAATGCTCTCACCATCAACTTCTGTTAGGCTTTTAAGGATAAAGTTAATTCTTCTGCTGAGTGTATAAGCCTGTAAAGGCCTGCAGAACATTATGCCAGCTGTGCATCAAATTCAGCATAGTCTCAGTTTATTTGAGGACCTTTTTCCTCACCAGTTCTTAGAAGCAACAGTGTTTTATGGAGTATGGTTTAAACATAAAGGAACAAACCCCCTATGCTTGCTTCCTTTTCCACCAAGCTCAACTTCTCTCAATGTAAAGACTGTTTTGAATGAGTGCAGTTAAAAGAGTGCAGTAAAGGAGAGACACAAAAGGGTGAATGACTGGGTTCCTCTCGGGCAACCAGAAATGATAGAATTGCTAAGGTTGGAAAAGAAGTCTTTAAGTCATTGAGTCCAACTGTTAACCCAGTACTGCCATATTCACCAAACTCTATCTCCAAGTGCCATATTAATACATTTTTTGATCACTTCCAGGGATTGTGGTTGCAATGCTTACCTTGACAGGTTGTGCCAGTGCCTATAGCCAGTTTCAGTGGTATTTCTCCCAGTATCCAATCTAAACCTTCCCTGGTACAATTTGAGGCCTCTCATCCTATAGCTTCTTACTTGGGAGAAGAGACTGACCTCTTGCCCTTGCTGCACCCTCCTTCCAGGTAGATCTAGTGAGCAATAAGGTCTTCCCTCAGCACTTTTCTCCAGGCTAAACAACCCCAGTGCCCTCAATTGTTCCTCAGAATTATTGTACTCCAGGCCTGCCACCAGCTCCACTGTCCTTCTGTGGGCTCAGAACCATTTAGTCTCAATGCTCATTTTGTCAGACTGTTCAGCAAGATATGTTATGGTCAGCAAGATATTTAATGTTTAGTGCTTCTGTCAAAGCAATGAAGACACTGTCAAAGTGATGATCTTAGGAAAAAAATCAGTGAAGTTCTGCAAGCTAAAAATGTTAGAGGGATAGGCCTATATTTTTAACAAGTCATATGTGACAGGAAAACTTGAGCTTCTGAAATCTGCATGATTTAACTGAAGAATTTCCATGAAGTGTGTTTAGAGGAATAGTCATGTTTTTGGTATGACTAGATGAGTAGCATATACTCATTGGTAGCTGATGAGTAGCCTGTATACACTGAATGTGTGATTTTGGTCTATCTTATTACTCTGCTTTACTAAACTGTTCTGTTATTTCTGTTTGCTCTTAATAAAACCAGTCTGAGACATAATGATTAAAGATATTTTCTTTCTTGTTGCCCATATGTCAGTGAATGGTGGTAAATGTGAATGGAAGGAAGGGTTTATCTTCATTTCTAGTCTGCTTCTTCCAGTCTTTTCATGGCAGCTGACCTTTCAAGGGCCCAGATCTGTCATGTCTCTGCAGCACATCTTTTCCTTGATTGTTGGGATAATAATCTTTATGACAAGCTGTAGAAAGTTTTGAGCACTGTGGCTATCATTGACATGTGGTTTTAAGCTGTCACAGAAGTTTAGACACCTCCAAAGAGTCCCAAATTTGAGAAATACAAAGTTCATGGAAGAGTTCCTGAGTTCTACTGTGCTTGGAGGCAAGGTAGAAATTTGTCCTGTTTGCTCTGCATTTACCTGAAATAATTTTGTTAAAACCTGTTAAACCAGTCATTGTATATTTGTGTGTTATAGTTGCATATTTGTATATTTATTGAGCCTTTGAAACAGAAGTAGCTGATAAAATGTTATTATGTCCAATTGTTTTGTGTAACTTATATAAAACTTGTAGTTTCTGGGAATCAGCAAGACCTTTCTTCAGTAAAGAGTGAAGATTTTGGAAATGTTCAGGAGATGTCTACAAAAAGCCTCATTGTGGGTCCACTCAATCTTCGACTGGATAGCAGCGCAGTGCACCGGATCATGAAAATGATAGTTTGTGCTCTGGAACATGAGTATGAACCATACTGCAAAACTAAGCCAGGTTTGCTCCTATTGCATAGACACAAATATACAGAATTATACCAGACTACATTTAGTGCTTTTAAAGATGCAGCTTTCAAATAGTTTTTTGAGTCCAAAGAGGAAAATGTAAAATAAAAGTAAATTAATCACAATATCCCTATCAGTGTTGGATGTACTTCTGAGATAATTTCAGACACTTTGAAAGCCTGTTTTAATCATAAGCCTCATGTTGAGTAAGAATACTTAATTTTCTACTCTAGCTTAATTTTGGAGTCTTAGAGAAGAAGGTATTCCTACTGGTATTTATTAGTTCAAAATAATAATTATATAGGGTGAAAATGCATGGAAATAAGTAGACTGTTAAGATGAGTTTCTCAGAGCAAGACAGATATCAAGTAAGGAAAATCCAGTTAGTATTGCATTTAGCCTTAGGTAGAAACAGTGTGGAATAACTTCATTAACTATGTAGGGGCAGGGGATAAGCTTTGCATTTTTTGCTAGTCCTTAGGCATTTCTGAAACATCAGCTGTAGGGCACATGTTATATATTTCAGTGAAACATATGTAATCTTCATTTATTGTAGATATTATGGATGGAAGTAGAGCTATGCCAAGCTCAGAAGAAGTAGCATCACTGGAGGAATACATTCCCACTAGACTTACAACGTTCACTATTCTTAAGTGTACAATTATAATCCCCGTGGCAGAATTCAATTTACTAGACCACTTGCTGCCCATAATCATGGGTGAGAAGGTATGTATGAACAGATAATGATTCAGTTCTTTATGTCACCATGTGCTATTTGATATAAAATTTCTTACTGGCCTGTTATTCCATGTGCTGGATGTATCACTGAGTTCTGGATTAGTTTGGTGCCTGTAAGCCTTAACTTCAGATAATTAAAATGGGCATCTGACTAGTTAGACTTGGAAACTGAAGGTGTTATGTATGTATAGGAAAAATACTTTTGAATAAAAGAGACTTGAAATCATCAAGGAACTGAAAAAGCAGTAGCTCTGATCTTTTGATCAGAGGAGTACCTGTTCTGCAGGTCTTCATAAGCTTGGTAAAGTATGAAATCTTTTAATACACAGGCTTAGTAGAGATGACATAGATTTTAATAGCCAGCTCTGTGTGCCAGTTCCAGACAGGATGTCAGCAGGACTTGGGCATTTAACTGCTGAATGACTAGCTCAGAGAGACAGAAATGTCTTAATAGCCTTCATTTGTTTTATCTTTTGGAGATGCATAGTATAATGCCAGCTGAAGAATCCTATACTGGTTTTATTCTTATAAGTCTCCTCTGTCAATGTGCAAAGTTGGAGTGCTCAGGGGGTAAATCTGTGGCTTGTATTGAAGACTTGCAGTAGGTTTATCTCTTGTGCTAGAGGCTGGAAGGTGTTTTATGGGTAAGGGAGGGAGTGGGAAGAACAGCAAACCTCATCAATTTGTGAGTTAAATTTCTAGGAGTTTTTGTCCAATATGCCATCTGATAGGCTGAGAGTGCTGTGGTAGCTCATCCTGAAGAACAAAATGCTTTGAGGAGACATCATTGTGGTCTTTCAGTACCTGAAGGGGGCTTCTAAAAATGAGGGAGAGGGTTTTGTACAGGTAGATAATGACAGGGCAAAGGACAATGTCTTTAAACTAAAAGAGATCAGATTTAGTTTAGATGTTAAGAGGAAATTCTTTATTCAGAGGGTGGTGAAGCACTGGAACAGGTTGCTCAGAGAGGTTTTTCTCCTTTTTAGCATTTCATAATACATTGCACTGAGTAGTGCTGGGGGTTGTGGTGCTTTTCACCTTATGGACATGGACAAATGCTATTTTCATAATGGGAGAACAGTCCCGTGTTTGTTGTAGGTTTGAGGTAAAAAACTTTAATTCCAGTGAAATTCTGGTTGATGTAGTCATTACTTGGAGTCTCAATTTACATTTCTTGAATGAAGCCAAGCATATTTAAAATAATGATTTTGAATTTCAGATAGTGCTGGGGGTTGTGGTGCTTTTCACCTTGTGGGCATGGGCAGATGCTATTTTCATAATGGGAGAACAGCTTGTTGTAGGTTTGAAGTAAAAAACTTTAATTCCAGTGACATTTTGGTTGATGTAGTCATTACTTGGAGTCTCAATTTACATTTCTTGAATGAAGCCAAGCATATTTAAAATAATGATTTTGAATTTCAGACTGAAAATCATACGTACATATGTATTATTGTCCTATTTTTATGCATTTTTAATAAAATTTTTAGATTTGTAGTGTAACTTGGACTGGAATAGATGTTTGGAGGTGTTCTCCAGGAGTTCAACATCCTGGTCAAGGCAAGAGCTATTTCTTGAATGAAGCCAAACGCATTTAAAATAATGATTTTGAATTTCAGATTGAAAATCATATGTACATCAACTTATTGTTCTATTTTGATGCATATATAATAAAATTTTTAGATTTGTAGTGTGACTTGGATTGGAAGAGATGTTTGGAGGTGTTCTCCAGGAGTTCAACATCCTGGTCAAGGCAAGAGCAGGTCTTCTCTGTACCCTCCCAGTAGTTGCAGCAGACAGCAGTAGGATTGTTCTCTGGCCTTCTCCAGACTGAAAGACTTCAGTTGTCTCTGTTTCTCCTAAAACAGGGCTCATGTGCTCCAATCCCATAGCCACTTTGTTTGCAGGAAACTTATTCTGGTATGCCCATGTCCAACCTGTGCTGGGTGCAGTACTCCATTGTAATGGATACTATGAAAAATAGACTTGGGTGTATAAAATTGTGGTATTTATTTTTTATGGAATGGTATCATCTTTTGCTGAGATACCTGGCATGACTGAATACATAAAAGATGACAGTGTAAAGGCTAGACCAGCATGAGATAAGTATTATGGTGATAGTGATTTGGAGTAATATAAAGGTAATCAAAAATTTTTATAGGACAAAATATTTTGACTTTGCATATTCTTGTACTGGGTTGACCTCAGCCAGCTGCCAGATGCTTACCCAGCTGTTGTCACTCCCCCTCCTCAACAGAGTAGTGGGGGAGAGAATGGGATGGGTCAGGATAGAGGGGGAGATCAATTACCAATTACCAGTATGAGCAAAACAAACTTGACTTGGGGCAGTTAATTATTGCACTTATGCTAAGAATTCAAACAGCATATATCCCCTATGCCCTTTTTTCCTCTCAGACTCAATTTCACTCCTTCATTCCCTGACTCTTCCACCTCCCACCCCTTAACAGAGGGGGATGGACAATGGAAAATGGGGCCCAGTCTGTAACAGCTGAGCTCTGCCACTCCCTCATTCTCATGCTGTTCTGCTTCAGTGCAAGTCCTTCTGTCAGGTTGCACTCCTTGAGGGAATCTGCTCCCTCAAGCATGGGCTCTCCTCAAAGCTGCAGTGCCCTTTGGGGCATATCCACCTCCTCCAGCATGGGGACCTCCATGGGCTGCAGTGTGGATGTCTGCTTTTGTGTTGTCTCTTTCATGGGCTGCAAGAGAAGCTCTGCTCTGGAGCCTGGAGCACCACTGCCTCCCCATCCTTCTCTGACCTTGCTTTTCATGTTGCTGTTTCTCACTTATTCTCAGAGTCTTTGCAGCCTGTGTGGTGTTTTTGCCCATTGTTAAATCTGTGTGCACAGAGGTGCCCCAGCTTGGCTGAGGAGCTCAGCTGAGCCCTGTGGTGGGGCTGTTGCAGCACTGGCTGGAGCGGGCAGAACCTGCCTGAGGACAGCCCCTGGTGTCCCCTCACAGAAGCTGCCTCTGCACTGCCAGCACCTGGACACCTGCACCTAAGACAATTCCAGATAAAAGGTTGATTATTTTAAACGTAAAAGAAAAAAATTTGGAAAGGTTTGAGGCTTTGTAGTATAATGCCACAGTATCTATAAATAGTTTATTTCATGGAGATTTCCTTGTGTGTTTAGGTAAGAACATACAACTACAATAAAAACATTTAAATTATTACATAATTTTTTTTCCTCCCTGCCCTAGAACTTGAGTGGACTGTTAAATGCTGCAAGTTTCCAGCCCCTGCGGCCTTTACCTTCCATCCGAATTTTGGTGGACAAGGTTAACCTGGAGCACTCGGTGCCCATGTACGCGGAGCAGCTGGTGCATGTGGTCAGCAGCCTGGGCCAGCCATCTGACAACCTGCTGCATTACTGCTACTCACACTGCTACCTGAAGGTCAGTGAGGGCTGGAGATGTGTGCTGAGAAGATCATGTATGTTTAGTTAATCTGAAGTGTTAGCAGGTTTCCTGTAAGGATGTTTTCAGCTAATCTGGAAGGCCATAGAGTAAATGCATTTCACAGAATGTTGTTTGGGATTGCTGCTTCTGACTTGAGCCAAGTGTTTTATAATAAGCACTGTACACTTCATATGAGGAGACTGCAAACTGAAGCCCCAAGATTCTTGTGACAAGATTGAATTAAAATTACTCAGAAAGAAACCTTTTTCCTCATCTGAGATAATGCTCCTATGCTGCGTAGATTGCTGCAAAATTACCAGCTTACAAACTTGATGGAAGTTAAGAGGAAAAACCATCATTGCTAGTAGTATTGATAGAGCAAACCCATTACAGTGAAATCAAAAACTGTTAAACAATTTAATTGTTTTGCATTATAAGAGGACAGATCTGTGAATGTTCTAATTAGAGATGCATTATGTGAATGGAGCTCTTATTGTGAGGCTGGGGGAGGTTTAAGATATGGAAAACTGTTTTGAGATGATTCAGTTGCCATCTGCTCTGCAGAGGAGTTTTAAAGCAGGCCTTTCCAGCCTTTTAGGATGTGCTTAGGAAGTTTGAAATGTTTTGGGTGCTACTAAAATATAAATATCTAATACTACTACTGTTCATTTTAGTCAATTTCTCAGTTATCTATTCACTTCCATGCTGATATTTTACAATAATTAAATTATTCAAATCTTTATTATCTGCATACAAGAAACTGTGTTTCAGAATTGCATAGCAGGCTTTCATTTTTCTGGATGACATGTTACATTTAAAGTGATTGGAATTGCAGTACTGCAAGTCATCTGTATGTTTTTCAGTTTGAGAAGATTTTTTTCTCTTCAGAAAACATTTTAGTAGCAAAATTTGGACATCAGCTTTGGGTTTTAAAGGGTTTATTTGCTAGCTTTTGTAGTGGCTGAATTGTTCTGTTCTTGTGAATAGAATAACATGTATAGCATGTTAAAAGACAACTTTTAACAAAGACAAACAGTTTGTTTGCCATATTGAATGGGGATAAATCATAAAGAATTCCTGTGATGATTCTTTCTGTAGCCAGGCTCTTACGAAGAAAAAAAGCTTTGAAGGGAAGCTTCTAATTTCCTTAAATACCACTCTTTGCTAACAACCAGTGTTGTTATAATTACTCAAAGTGATTTTACTTTGTATGAAAGGCCATATGTAATCTGCAAGTTTAAAGGATATAGACTAAAGTATTTGAGTTGAAAAATTGTAATTCAGAATTATTTTAAATTCAGCAGACCATAGTTAACACTTTTTGAATGAAGAAAATATTTTTACATGTATTTTAGGGCATTATTTGAAGCATATTTTTGTAGCTATATTTATGCTTGGGGAAAAGGGATTATCTAAAAATAATACACAATTTATAAAATATTTATCAATACATATGTTATAAAATATCTTGAAAATAAAGTAATCTAATCACATGATAATATAGCATTTGACCAACTGAATTTGTTCCAGATATTTGGTTTTCAAGCAGCACTGACTTCCTTGGACAGTAAAGGATTGTACTGCATCCCTGTTCCAGTTATCCCCTCATTCAGTACTGCTGTTTATGGCAAGCTGATCAAGTTCCCCAAATATTGGTGAGTATTAAGCCTGTACAGTGTGTCTGAGTCATGTGCACAATTAGTTTTGCATTTTTAATGAGGGATTTAAAAATGCCAAGCTTTGCATATATCCCTAAACTTCTCTGTCTCCTCTTATATTCTATTGCATCTGTTATAGTTCATAGGTTTCTTTGTGAGGATAGCTGTCAATAAACACTATAGAACTTGGTTTGGCTGAGAGACCTGGAGCTAATGCCACCGAGGTCATGGGTACAATTCCAGTCACTTCAGATCCGTGATCCTTGTGGGTCCCTTCCAGCTCTGTGTGTTCTGTGATACAGAAGCCCTGTGGTAAATGGCTTTCTTCTAGACCATGTAGGTTTCTGGAACCAGTTGCCATTCTTTCTTGAGCTGGTAGAAAAGTTAAATAGTGATGGATGGCAAGCTTGATGTTTTAACTGAATAGGTCAGCTTTTTCTTTTTTAAATTCAGCCAGATAAAAAGCAACAAACTGGGGGGTAAAACCACCAAGTGTCCCAAATCCACTATGTTTCTGCTACACTTTTATTTGTTTCTCATTACAGTTGGAAGTGTAAACTATTTGTAGTAGTTCAGATGTTAAATACAAATATTTTTCTTCTGAAAACAGTTCTATACTTTATTATAAAATGTGCTATATCATTTTTTTTAGCCTTTAACGAAATGGAAATCCAGTATTTAAATTTATCTTTACTGATCAAATGTTGTGGTCATAAATGTCAGTATGTAATATTGATAGGTTGCATTTATAAAAATTATTTTCAGGAAAATCCATTTTGACAATATTTTCTACAAGGTATTCGTTTTCCTTATCCCTCATTTTGAGTAGTACTTGTCTATAATACTGCTTTATGACTAAATCCGTGCAAAAAAATGCTACGTAAAGTGACAAGACAATAAAAAAGCATGTTAATGTTAAATATTTTGGCTTAAAACATTTTGTTGAATAGCTAATTTGTAAGATAAATTTGTTTGTGAAACTTTAATGGATTATACAAAAAAAGTCTACTTCTATAATTGTTCTTAGGGTCATGTAAAGAATGTACCAATTTTTCTTTCACAGGCTGTGATACCATATTAAGTGTAAATGGGTTTTAGCATTATCAGCACACCACCAGGTGGTAGCAGCCTAACTGACTTTGTCATAATTTCTATCAATAGTTTACAAAAGTATTAATGACTTTGAATTACTTGCTGTTGTGTTATACAATTTTCTAAAAATAAAAGGTTTCTGGGATACCATATAATCAGCACTAATCAGAGTGGTTCAGAACTTTATAACTGACAGCCTGTCCTTATGTTATCTGGCATTTAACACTAAGCTCTGGTTAGTAATCCTGGTTAGCAAACTGCATGAATAAATCAGTGTTGAATGGCAAACTTAAATTTCTTTAATATATTGTAAATCCTGTGTTTAGTTGTGCAAAATAAAAAAAAAATTAGTGATGAATTTTTAAATAAATCTTTAAATAAATCTGTCATCTGACAAGTTCATGGTATTGAAGTGCTGCTGCTTTCTCATGAGTGTGCTTGTCTCTTCTGCATGTGCTTGTGTTTGCTGTGTTCCATCTCTTGCTCACTCACACTTGGTTTCTTGTGCTTTTCCTTGTGCAAAGTTTCACACTTGCCCTCACTCTGTCTCATGTTCCTGGTCTTGCCCTTACATTCTCTCTCTCGTGCATTCTTGGATTGTCTTGTGAAATCTGCCTCTCTCACATTCTTTGTCTCTCTCTTTTAAGAATGCATTGTATTGTCATGCATGCCCAGCTGGAAAGAGCTGTAGTTTTGGGGAGTGAAGGCAGGGGAATGGTCCTGCCTACTGGCTTTCAGTAAAGATATTATTAGACCAGCACTTACTGTGGCACTGTGGTCTAGTGTGTTTTGATGGTTTTCTCACTTTTTTCCTGTGATCTGATCTCTTTCTATGGCTTATTTATTCTTAATGAAATAAAAAAACCTTTATAAAATGAACTCAGTCCAGTCATTTATCTAAACTAAGCAACACCAATTTGTGAGTAATAAAGTAGAAAAACAAATGAGTACAACAGCAGCCTGGTTAAATGAAGTGTAGTTTGAAGTGAGTAAAACTCCAGATGAAACGCATCAAATAGCACTTCAGCTAAATCGAAATCAGCATGAGGACTGAGAGCTTCATTGAAGTCATGCAGTGAGTGAGAATTAGTCTGGTAGGATAACCTGGTAATGTCATTAAACTTAAATTCAGTCCTCCCTCCCAAATTATACCACCTGCTTTATTTGGATTTGTGGATTTCACATTCCAGAGTTTCTTAAAGTGCACACATCTGATGCTACATGTGTTCTTCTGTTTCTTCGTAGAAAATACATACCACAGACCATACCTTTTAAAAACAAAGGCATTTTATGAACTGTTATGGAATCCCTTAGGTAGTATGTTTTGAGTTAGCAGTGAAAATCTCAACTTTATTTCTGACATAAATCAGTGGAATAGGTTTCTTTTCTAGTTTCAGTACAATAATCTAAAAATTATATACAGTGTATAAAATACTGTAGTAATATTAATTTTTAAAATTTTAAACCTAGTTGATAAATATTGGCAGGATGTTTTAGCAGATAAAATTTCAGTGATGTCAGTCCAGTAAATTCCAGTAAATGACTATAAACAGTCATAAAGTGCTGTTTACCTATTAGATTGATGTCTCTTTTAATTTCAGTTAGTACACTTTCTTTGTATAAAAGAAATGTGCTCAAACTCACTAGTTAACTGAGTCTTGGACATCTTTTAAATTGAATAGCTAATCTGTTTTTATTGGAAAGTACAAACCATCTGGTCTTTTGTTTTTGTCAAGTGTAACAAGATGCAAAATACAATGTTAATGTCAATATTTTACAACTGCTTTATGTAGTGTTGCATGCCAGATTGTAAAGCAGCTTTCAGAGCTTTCAGGAGGATGTCTAAAACCAACTGAGAATTAGCAGAATATGGTTAAAAGCCTAGAGTGAATGACAAGAATGTTTATTGCCAAACAGAAATCGTGAGAGGAATTAGATGATTTTCTTTTATTCTTTTGGCTTCAGTGTCTTTGGTAACAGATGAGGTAATCTGGTGTGAGACACTTCAGTGTTACAACCTTCTATCACTTCTAAGATACCACTTCATTGTACTTCCAAGGATTGCTAAATTAACAGTACAGAATATGGATTTGTAATAGCCTTCCTTTTATTTTTCTGGTGTCTGATTGACAATGAAGTGTCCTCTCTGTATTTTGAGCTAGATATCAGTCTAGTTATGTGTGTTATTTTATTGCTTTTCTTAACCTGTCTTCTCTAAACAAGTGTTCCAGACTCATGTATTTGTTTTTCTTTATCAGGTCTGTAGGAAGTTTTTCACTTACTGTCGCTACCTGTGACAGATTTTCAAACTCTGAGCTCTGGTAGAATGAAGTTATAAATGAGGGTTGCATCATTAACCCTAATTCCTTTCTGTTCAGCTTGGTCCTGTAGTCTGCTTTCAAGAGATCTATTTTCTTGATAGTGAGTCCCCTCTTTATTATTTGGGTGCCGGAGCAAAAGCTGCTACTTGTTGCTTTCAAGGAAGCACCAGTACAGAGTTGACTAATAGCTAGTCTTGTTAAGTTTGACTGTTTGAATTAACCTTTTATAAAGAGGTTGAGGACCTGCTGGGTAAATTATTATCTAGGACTTCATGGTCTGCACTTGAATTATTAGAGAGTACAGAGCATTTAATTGGTTGTCCTTGAGTTTTTACTCTGTCAGAATAAAAACCTTGAATAGAAACTTGCAATTAGATCTCAACAATTATTAGTTAACAAAGAACAGTCCTTGAGATGCTTTCCAGTTTCTGCAAAGATTCTTTCTTTTGAGCTGTTTTCTGCAGACTGTCTTAAGAAATATATTTCAGCTTAAATACATGCAGTGTGCTAATCTCCATCAGGGTTCATCTTTCTGATGAAGAAGGATTTTTGGTAACAGGAGATTTGATTTGTGTTGGCACTGTAGTTTCATTTCTTCAGTGTTTTTATTGAAGTGCTAATTGTTATTGACAAAAGCTGACAAAAGTTAAAAGTTTGCTGTGCTGTTAAAGGCAGTCACATGTATCATATGCTGGGCACCTCAGCTGTCCAGAGATCTGTCACTTGTTTCACTTGTGAAAGCTGTGAATTACAGACCTGACATAGTTATTTTATTAATATGTGCACTTATGGCTCTGAAAGATCACTTAGGAAGTTTAGATGCAGTGCTCTTCACATGAAATGAACATGTGTATTTTCTGTAGGCTCTTTTTATGAACTCTCAAGAACATTTATATAGCATAGCTGCACTTAATATTTCAACACGGATTTAACTGTAAAGGTAAATATTTACTGTGTCCTTAAAATCTGCTACATTTAGAGTAGATTGGCAAATCAGGCTATAACTGCTTTTTGGCTATTATGCAAAGATTTTGAGAAATGTTCTTTCCCACCAACCTGAACATCAGCATTTTGTTTTTTTTACATGACTTCCTTGCTTTTATTTTGATTTTTTTCATGGTGTAATTGTTGCTTCGTACACACAGTTTAGTTTCTCTTTTATTTTCTAGCTTTAATATTAACATTACCAAACCCAAGGACTCTAACTGACTCATTACTACTGCAAAGGTTTTTGCTCAAACTTTTGTTATTGTAAAAGTGTTTGTATTTTTTTATAGCTTTACTTCCATTTTTTTCCATCACATGTCCATTACAAGGCAAACATCTGTCTCTTAATCAAAGCTATGTGCCTAGTATGCCATACAGTTGTATTCTTATTTATAGAATAATTTCTGAGGCTCATTATGCAATTGAGTAAGGTCATTATATTTTCTAGCCAGGATGAGCACCTGCTTGTGTCTGCTTCAGGGGTCATCTTGTAAGTACCGTGTGCATTTAACAGGATGCCCATGAATTGACAAGGGTGAGAGCAATTCATGTTAATCTGCAAGCAGAGTGGTAGCTGAAGATCTGGCTTCTTACACA